AGATTTAAGTTTAATGCGCTAAAATGTTGACAAGGGGAGATTTCAGCAGAAAATTTCCTTATGCTAAAAAATAGATTTTGTTAATGATACTCATAGGACAAACGATTATATTTAGTGCTATTTGAATTAAGAATAACTGATTTGTTATTCACATAAAGCCAGCCAGAACCAGCACCAGAGCTCGCATGGCCGCACCAGGCGGCAGAAGAATTTAGCGAAGTTAAACAGAAGTTTTTCATTGCAATGACAATGCCCAATCATCAATCAATTAACGGAGGGCGAAATCTGTAGTATGGTTCTAAATCCAGAAAATACAGCTACCGATAGTGAAAAAAGTAACAGAGAGGTTACTGAACGAGAAAAAAATTTGATTGACAAGTTATTCGGAATTCTCGACACAGCAATTACAGGTCTTGAACAATGGAACTTAATAACTGAACAAGAAATTATGTCTATAGTATTAGTCTAAAGTATTAGCAGAGAAAACAAATCAAACAAATCACATTGAAAGAAATGTTTAATAAAGTAAACATATAAATATTAAGCTCTTTTCTTTTGTAAATTTTGATACCCTTTAAATCATAAATGCTACATTATTTCATAAATCACGATTTCATATTTTCAATTTTATAATTTCTATGTACCATCTTAGTAGATTTAAAATGATCTAATATCCGAAAAAATCTCAAATCTGGCATCGCCGAAGTCCCGACGAGTCCAGACCTCGGACTTTGTACTGTATATATATATATATATATATATAAAAAAAAAAATGTACATGAACTGGTAATTAGACGAAAGACCTATCTGTTCAAAAAAATTGCAGTTTATCGCACTTATACCGTTTTTCCAGTTTTACCAGGCAAATTTCTTATTGTTATGTATACTATGTTACACATTTTGTGCAGCTACAGCTCCTGGTAACTTTTGAGCAGTAGCTGCATTTTACTACGTAGATCATAACTTATCTATCATTAAATCAGAACTTTAACTGTTAATGATCTCCGGTAAACCAAAACTTTTTCTTCGCGTGCTTCCATCTTCATAACTACGCACTCACTTCTTGCTGTCTGTGCTAGAATTTCGCTGGCGCTTTCTATCCCACACACTTACGAGGATGCCTGAGCCTCAAAGAATGCTGTTAACGAGCAAAAGCTGAGTGCGTATTTATGAAAGTGACTTTGGACAATTCTCAAGAATCTGATATTATACGTATCGCATATATATATAAGTACTGTTATATAATATATATCTTATATATATATATATATATATACGGAATGTATATTTTCAGTTAAACTTCTACCCAATAACTTTAGTAATTCATGAAAGTTAATTTTGCGTCTAGTTAATTCAGGAAAATTAGTTTCAATTAGTTGTTTTCAGCTTTTAAAAATTATTTTTAATTAGTTAGTTATTTTCAACTAATAATTGTATCGCCATTAGCAAAAATTATGCATTACTATCAAACAACATAGGTTTAAAACCAAATACTTAATTGTCTATTGAAGCTTCAAAACGTATTTCCGAACTTCACTTTTTCTCGGCTAGCGTTACCGAATTTGCCCTTGGCGACCTAAAATCGAAATGGAGCCAACAGATTTCCCGCGAAATCGATAACAGACCCTCTGCAGAAATAAACTCATAATCCCGATATCCCATACATATAGTATTGGCAAAAGAGAATAAACTCCGTAGAAGGTGATAAAAAATTAATTTATGGCTTAATTGAAACAAACACAGAAATTAAGCTAAGCAAAACCGTGTAAAAACAAATTGAAATGATAAAACGAAACTTAATTTTCATGTGAATTTTCAGCGCTGACTCTCCCATTCTAGAAATTTCAATTTGTTTCAGACAAAGACCACATTTAAGGATTGCCATCCATCAATATCCAGTCTTTGTAGTCAGCTTGATGAAGCCACAGTTTATTGAAAATGCACTTTCCAGGCATCTCGTTCCTATTGGCGTCGGAAGGGTTGTGGGCTTCCAGGTTGGGATTGCTCTAATTTTGGCAAATATTTTCAGAATCCCCCCTTTTTTCACCACTTTCGCCTCTTAAAGAACTTCCGGCTTCACGCTTTCGTCACAATCTGCCTAAATTTATAGATAACACCTGTTTCGAAAGATTGGGTGAATAGCCAATCAGACACCGATACTTTCGTCTCGGGTAGCTAATTGTTTTTTTTTTTATCGTTTGCAACGCAAATCCACCAACAGATTGGTTAAGAGCCGTATAATTTTAATTCCATATTCATGAGAAATCGTAATTCACACTTAGAATGGCAATCATTAGAAATGATAAGAAATGTCAAATGAGCAAAATTAAGGACCATTTATTCATTTTGGCCAAAATTAAGGATTTTTAAGGACCAAAAATCATTTTTAAAAAAATTAAGGACTTTTAAGGACTTTTAAGGACCGTACGAACCTTGAACAACAGATCCAGAGATATTCCTTACTGCCCTTGATAACACGCTGCCGCTAACATCTCTTTCATAAAGTGCATAATTATGATTTTTCCCCCTCCAAACGGCAGGCACAAGTCATCATAAATGCTGGACACTACTAACACCACATCATAATGATATAAAAAAATCTGATGTGTACACCACATGACTTCCTTGTATGGAATATTAAATTATACGCATTTTTACTTGCATTTCATTTAAACTTATTGGATTGAATTAAATCTACTTCGCCGACAGCGCATAAACCACAATAGAATAAATGCATTCTTTAAAATTCACTCTAGTATTTGCTTACCATAGCGACACTCTGGCGCTAAATTCACTTAACAGTATTATATTTTGTTCATATTATAACTCATAATGCACAAAATTTATATCATTTAAAGAATAGAATTATCTAATCGTTGCCACAGGTTCCTTTCAAATACTATAATAAAGCTAGAATGATGTATAAAAGAAATTAAGCAACCAAAACAAAAAAGAAACAGTTTTTCACAGATGATTGAGTATTTCTCATTCAATTAATTCAGTTCTCACTTCGCGAGAAGGCAAAAATACATAAAAACTCAAAATATCTATATTAAAAATTACGAAGTAAATCTTAAACACGTATTTCCTTGAAAAAATTTCAGAAAGGATTACGCATGATTTAATTGGCAATAATAAATGAAGGCGTTATCTTTGTTGTTGCGAAGCTAAGTTTCTCTACATTAGTATCAAATCCACTAGTCTGCTGTTTCAAATGTAAACAATCAATGGCCGCCGTCAAAAAAAAAAGACTTAGCAACACTTAAACAACTTTAAAATTGTTGATAATTCTAAAAATATTGCATACAGATTTATTAAAGGCATAAAAACCTTAACCGGAAGATAAAAACAACATAATTCAATCATTTTTAAAGCAAAAAATGTACAATTTACAAACATATAAGAGTAGAGACTCAGATCACTGAGCCGGGTAACAGAGTGGATATATATATAAATATATATGTTTGGTGCGGCCGATTGCAACCAAAATACGAGGTGCACATCTACATCTATGTTATAGCAGTCTATATACAAAATTTCAAAGTTCTGAGGCTACTCGTTTTTGAGTTATGCGAGATACGTACGTACGTATGTACATACGTTCGCACAGACACCACGAAAAATTCTATTCAGAATTAATTTTAAAGCAGTTTTATAATTTTTTTGGAGGAAACGAGTCTTTTATTCTGTCCTTACGTACAGATATCACGCAAAAACATAGTTAAATTTCATTTGATAGCGGTCTTCATTGAAATATGCTGCCTGAAACTTTTCACGATTACGATACTTTCTTTTTACTTCGTACAAGGAAGTAAAAAGGCCTAAATGTAATCAAAAAGAAGCAGATTGCATCCATTACATTCTGGAATTCAAAGAATGTGATTCTGAAGAAATAAAATATAATTAACCTCAATGATTGCTATTATCTCTATGCATCAATGTTACTTTTTGTTCATACCATCAATTTATAAATGATCACATTTACTAAAATATAATCCATATCGCATGATTCTTGCATAACTCTCATGATGCAATTAGAGCGATTTATTACAAGCAGTTGATAATTTTAAGATGAAAAGGAGAAATAAATTAAAATGGAGAATTAAAGGACAGTTTCCAATTAAAGTTATTATTTTACCTTACCTGTCTCTTTATTTTATATACAAAAAATACAATACACTAAATTAATAATTAGGGTATTCTATTCTTATTTTTGACTTACAAACAGAAACTCATGTTTCTGTTTGCAAACTTTAAAATATTTTGCAGTAGTTTTAAGCAACAGAAAACGTTGACTTGACATCCTCCAACTAGTCAAGGGTTTGTGCACAAAATGGTCACGAGAAAGAAATATTTTCTGAATTAAAATTCTAAAATATGCATGCCATTTCATATTAGGTCATTTTTCTTTACAATATGCCATTAATAGTTTAAGCATACACATTTACTTACTTAATATTGATAAATATTGTGGAATGTCCATTTACAATTGAATGATTCAATATTCAGTAAAAGAATTAATAAAAAAATTCATTCAGGAACTAAAATATTAACACAAATTTTCAACTAGCAGGCAAGTTAGGATTAGGTCTCTGCAGGAAGTTAATATTTAATTCATTGGTCATTTAACTATTTAATCACTAAGAATGCAACACTGTGAGAGATGGTGGATATTATACCATCTGTTTTAATTGCAATATAATCCAGGTTAAAAAAAGAAAGATTTAAAAGTAGTACCACATCACTCAAATAAATAAGAAAATCATTCTGAAGAGCAATTTTAACACATATAACAGTAATTGATTAAGTAGTAATATATTTTTTAAATAATATAAATTAATAATATTGCATTATTAATGCAAATAGTTCAATAATGTTAAATTGACTTTAGATAGAATTGTTCCAAGAATTTTTCATACAGTAGCACTAAAAATTGAAATAATATTATAGCTAGGCTTAGGAAATGCTAAACTTGTATAATCATTTCTAAAATTTCTTACCAGCATAGGATGCATTTTTAAAGTAATTTGCTCTCTAACACATAATGTGAAGACTTTGATTGTAAATTGTCTGCTCAAACCAGAAGTTATATCTTTCAGCCATACATTGAAGAAAATTACTTATTACTCCCTTCTAACTAATCCATTTCAGTCCTGGAAGATAATAAAACAGTTAAACTCCACACACACACACAAATACAGTCAAAAGTCTTTAATCCGGACTCGTTGGGACTTCGGCGATTCTGGATTATCGGTTTTTCCGGATTAGAGATAATCAATTTAAATCTGGTAAGATGGCATGCAGAAATTATAAAATTAAAAATAAGAAACCGTAATTTATGAAATAAAGAGCAATTATGATCTAAAGAGTATCAAAATTCACAAAAAAAAAGGTTTAATATTTATTGTTACTTTATTAAACATTTCTTTCAACGCACGCATGCATAAAGCATACATTACGCATAGTCGAAATTAGAAAATTGCAACCAAAAAACTGCTTGATGTGTATTTGTGATAGTTATAATGACGAGGAATTAGATTTAAATCATATCAAAGATGGAGTACATCAAGATGAAATACAGTCAAAAGTCATTAATTCGGACACCCATAATCCGGAATGATCTATAATCCGGAACTCAAAGCTAAAAACTTTCTGCGCATGCGCCGCGTTGGCACATGCGCACAGGCGTTTTACGCGTGCGCGTAAGACCTTGACTACTGCGCATATGCGTGTGCGGAAGTGCAGAATACGTTTTCGCCTGCGCATTTAATGTATAACGGACGGTGTAAGCTAACATTATCTAATTATCTATTTCAGTTAATGTTAATGATTGCGTTGTTCCTTAATCTTCGAATTGGATCCCGCTTATTATTTTTTGCAGACTGTAAGAGCAATTTTATAAAAGTAAACTTTAACTTTCGATTATGTCAAATAGAATTTCCGATGCTGGAACTTCCAAAGGATCTACAAAACGAAAGTATGTTTCGATGTCCAACAAACAAAAAGTGGAATTGCTGCAAAAAATGGATAAAGACGTGAAGAATGTGACATAGAGGTTAGTGAAAACGAAAAAATTTCGATTGACAAGTTAGTCGGTATTCTCGGCACAGCAATTAACGGGACTTGAACAGAGGAACTTTGTAACTGAACAAGAAATTATGTCTTTTTATAGAATTAAAGAGAAAGTAATATCACATAAAATGAAGCAACTTAAACAACTTACATTGAGAGAAATGTTTAATAAAGTAAACAAATAAATATTAAGCTTTTTTTTTGTAAATTTTGATACCCTTTAGATCATAATTGTTCTTTATTTCATAAATTACGGTTTCATATTTTTAATTTTAGAATTTCTGCATGCCATCTTACGAGATTTAAAGTGATGATCTATAATCTGGAAAAATCGATAATCCGGAATCGCCGAAGTCCCGACGAGTCCGGATTAACGACTTTTGACTGTAGTACATTTAGTAAGGAATTATAAGCCGAATAAATTAAAACATCTGCCCTGAAGATGAGGATAGTGCTGACAGACCAACTTCCTGTTCATTGTGCACTGTGACGTCCTCACCCCCACAGAGCAGCGTGAAATTGATAAACAGATTTCGGAATGGTTAGAGAAACAACGGATATGCCTTTATTCATTTTTTGCAGCAATTTCACTTTTTGTTTGATGGACATCGAAACATGCTTTCGCTTTGTAGATCCTTTGGCAGCTCCAGAATCGGAATATCTTTTTTACATAATCGAAAGTTCAAGCTTAATTTTATAAAATTGCTCTAACAGTCTGGAAAATATAATGAGCCAGATTCAATTAGAAGATTGAGGAACAACGCAATCTGCAACATTAACTGAAATAGATAATTAGATAATTTTAGCTTAGCTTATACCGTCCATTATACATTAAACGCGCATGCATAAATGTATTATGCACATGCGTAAAGGTATTACGCACGTGCGCAGAAAGTTTATAGCTTTGAGATTCGGATTATGGATGTCTGGACCGTTTACTTCATTACTAACTGTATATGTTAATTTTACATAAATATAACAGCATCTAATAATTGAATGTAAACTTTCCCACATGTGACCTCAGTACACCTATGTTAAAACATTGCAGTGGTGCTATGAATTAGGACAAAGACTGGAGGTCAGCAAATTCTTTGATACTGCTTTAAAAATACAGTCACTCTTCAGAAGCCTGATTTCTTCTCCCTTCGATGTTTACTAGTCTCTGTCCTCCAAACACATACTCACAGGAAACCACTGAAAAGTGTGTGCCTATTTAAGCACTTTTTTTATGCATTGTAAGGTAATTACAGCAATGAAAACAAAATGAAAAAGTAAAAACTGTAATATCAGTCACTAACTTTTATTGAGACATATCATAATTTGTACCTTAACCCCTTAATTGCCGAGGCAATGTTTTTGTTTGAGCAAAACGGATTTTTTTTTAATTCTGTGTCTTCTGTTTCGTTTACTTCATTACTACTGTTTGTAGTAGGTGATTTTTTTAGGAATATGTCTGACAGTGATGACTAATGACTGTGCAGTTATTGCTTGTGTTTCTGTTTGAGTAAAACATACTTTTTTTGTTCTGTGTCTTCCATTTTCGTTTACTGCTTGTAGTAGGTGCATTCTTTACAAATATGTATGACAGTGAAATAGATTATTACTTTCCATCATCTTCAGGATCGAACACCTCAGAATACAATATTACATCAGATGAAGAGAATTGCAACTATTCTCCGAAAGATGCTCAACGTTGGGTATGACTTGAAATGAAGAACTTGCTTCTGCCACCTCCACACTTTCCATTTAGGTATACTGATTATACAAGGTATAACACTGAAACCTGCTATAACACTTTACTGGTCCAAAAATAAATTGATCGAAACTCCATTTTTGGGGATCTTTTTTATTATACAAACATCATTCTTATTATATTTACATCTTTTTTACTATATTTTTACTGCAAACATGAGATTTTAGATTTTGTATTTTCATTTTTTCTTTTAATCTTTATCTTGTGAAAGTATACAGGTTTTAGACAACAAAACTTACACTTATTTTCCCCCTAATACAATGCATAACTACGCGTGCATGTGTAAAAACGGTGGCACTGGGGAGTGAATCTTGTAAGTTTTTCATGGTAGTTAAGGTTTTAATAAGTATAATCAACATTATATGAATTTCAATCTATTATTTGTTGTTTCAGTTTGCTGAAAAGCATGTAGTGTGGCATTTCTTTGAATGGAAGAATATTATAAATGCCTTCGTTTGCTAAATAACATTTTTTTTTTTTTTTTTTTTTTTTTTTTTTTTTACAGTATAGAACCACTTGCAGAGCAGTCACTGAAGAGAACATTTATGAGAATTTGATAGAGAATGCAAATTAGGAAATTGGGTACTTTCCAATTATTCACATCCTCCACCCAAAAGTCATGAAATTTTTGTTCATTTTGGGGAGTATTCATTCGCAAACTTGTCAGCAACTAATTTTTTGCCAAGCTAACGTGCAAAAAGCAACAGCTATTTTCAGCATGATGGTGCACTAACAATACCCCACGAGAGCAATAAATTACTAAAATAACCCCTCCCCGCGCAAAAAAAATCAATTTTTTTTTCCTTTTTCGAGATTTTTTTTTTTGAGGGGGGGGTGTTGGTGCTGTTGTTCTCCATAAACACAGTGATATGACATCACTTTAAAAAAATATCAGAGCATAGCAAAACTCTGTTCCACACAACTTCTGCATTGCACACTGGCGAAAACAGACATGTGCTATATGCATTGTTGTGTTGTCACATAAATACTTTATGACGACATCGCATGTTGCCACATTAACTATTTTGGCAACATACTGCTTTACCTCATAAATATATTTGACTTTACGGCGGGTGTGCCAATAATCGGAAAGTACAAAAAATTGTTTTCCCTTGGTATAACATTTTTTTGTGGAGAGGGGAGCATTTTCTTTATGGGAATTTTTTTTTTTTTCCCCTAATATAACCATAACATTAGTTAAGACCGTGTTACACCTCTATCAATCATCAACAGATCATAAAAAATTATGTTCAGTTTACAGTTGGAGGTGACAATTGCTTATAAGTTATATAATATAACAATAACACATCTTCATTATGTTAACTTGTTGACTCAACTCCAGGAAACTATAAAAGATACAGAAAAATGTTGTTTCACCGGTGACAATGCTCCAGAACAAAAGATTCAGATTTTTCAGACTGCTATTAAGGAATGTAGATTTTTAGCCTATTCTTCATCCACAGTATTCACCAGACATGGTATTAATTGATTTTTTGGCTGATCTTTGGAATATGGTAACCTAGGACTTTGGTAATAATGTGAGAAGTACTCAGTTCCGATTTACGCATTATTTTGTGTGAGGGAAATGAGAGATCATGAGATATGTCATGTGACATTAGTGGATGAATTACAGTTCTTTAATCGGAAAAGGGGGTAAATTTGGAAAAATATCTGTAGTACTATATTATTTTGTATTAAGCTTCATTGTGTGTTGTATGAAATAGTGTTGATTAATTTTTGGATTGCATGGCGCTATCTAAAGTCAATTCTAAATTTTTAATGCGTTTATCTGATAATTCAAAAGAATTGGTTGAATGGTGTATGAGTGTAGGTTTTAATTGCGGATAAGTATGAATGTCCAACATGTGGGAATGAAATGAGATTGTGTGAAAGGAAGGATATTACAGATGAGTTTGAATGGCGGTGCAAGAAATCTGGTGAAAATGGAACTTTTGTGATCCACCATGCACTCAAGATTCTGTAGAAGATTAGGTAAGTTAGTATTTTTAATTATTTCAGGATATTATTTTTATGTATTGTTCTAAATGTAAGGAGTAAATAAAGTAATATGGTATTATTGGAAAATTGTTATTAGCAATGATTTAGTTTAAAGTAATTAGGATTGTAAGCTAATTTTTATTAATTTAATGTATGTGCTTATTTATATTTAAGTAGTGTTTTTTAATTTAATTATATTTTAATTAAATGATAGTTATTTTGTGAATTTTATATTTGTCGCAATTGGTATACGTTTCAGTTGAAGTAAACGTGCATGGAAATATTTAAATATTGACACTAAGTATTTGTAACCATTTTTAATGTTTGCGG